CACACACACACACACACACACAGACACACGCACCCACACCATCACACACACATACTCAAAAACAAGCACTCAAGCATACACATTCACTCACTCACACAAAGACAGGCACCCACACATACACAGGCACTCTGTTTTACACACACATGCACGCACGCACACGCGTGACATGAACACAATAACAGTAGACGTGAAAGGAATGCTGCTGCTCCCCGTGTTGGCTACCCATCCAGGTTTTAATGTACACTTTTTATTCACACGCATACTTCAAGGAGGGGGGGGGGGGCGGTCTCAACCAAATTCTTACAATGTCTTCCCCGTTCATCCATTCGTTTCATTAGGTATCATAAAGTAAATGCCTTAAGGTAGATTATTCACGAAGGCCGATTTTGGTTTGGAACATCATTACAGCTTTGATCTTTCAATAACTAATTATGTGGCGACACGGTGGAACCAGGCGCTCGTCAGTTTTGGGCATATGGAGTTATTGATATCATCTTAGAGTTTTTAATTAATTATCTCGCTTTTGATGTAAAAATGCGCGTGTATCTTGATTTCAGAAGTCGAGATATTTGTGATCGAAGGAGGTGGGGACGGTAAGTTTCAGACAGAGAACAATTATCGAGAAAAGGGCCTCCAAAGTTTGGTGACTTTCAAAGCTCGAGAGTCTTTGGAAACACCAAATTTACATTTTTGTGTCTTTGAGCAAGGTTTTCCAGTAAGATTGAAACAGAAATGTGTTTTTCTATCAACGTAAACGGTGAAGAGCCAAATACCGAATGAGTGGTAAAATGTCAATTTCCTTGATTTCAATACTTTGACGAGTACCTGATTTCACCACGATGCTTCACAATAAGCTCTATAGGAGGAAGCTATAACAATCTTAAAAGTACATGTATCAGTTGACACTGCAGTGTGTGCAGTGTGCAGAAAGATTGGGGGAGGGGATCAAGTCTTTTCATTCACACTAATTTAGAGAAAGATAGCAACATCATATAATCAACGAAATCAAACTCACCTTTAAGACAGCTTTTCAGTTTCGAAAAATTGAAGTAAATATTGTTGACGCTGTTGCCGTTCTTGCTCATACTATTACTGTTGCTGTTGCTGTTGCCGTTGTTCAGGTTGACGCTGTTCTTGCCACTGGACCGCGACTGCGCGGAGGCAGCAGAATAACTCCCAAGCGTTGCCGTAGAAGTGACGGAGTTGTCTCGGCTGTCCGGAGACTCCGCTCTCAGGCTGAATTTGACGTTCCGGGACTCGGTGGGGCAAGACGTGCTGGCGCTGTCCAACTCTCGAACGTCTTCGCAGCTCTCCTGCTCGTAGGCGCTCCTTGGAAGGTACAGGTTAAACCATAGAGAGGTTTACCTTTGAATAAAAGTTTAACGGCCCTTGCAACACAATTACGTTATTTAAGTGCCGAAGATTAGAAGTATGACGAGAGAGTAGCAGACACAAAAAAAGAAGATTTAGAGATTAGGACGATGGCGTTTTTTAACAGGAAAGAAGGAGCTGACCTCAGCAGTACCCACCAACCCCCAATGTCTGTAAGTTGCTTAGGCTTATGTTTGGAGCTCAAACGACGTGTTGAACAGCCCTGTGGCACATCTCATCCTCTCTCGTTTTTAAAAATTTCAGTTAGAATAGCGAGTATCCAAGGGACACACCTTTTTGAAAGATTGAACGTCTATTTTACTATCACAAATTTGCTGAGAAAAGAAATCCAAGTTTTCACTTATTATAATCTTCTGCTATGATGATGCTACTGCTACTACTACTACTACAACCACCACCACCACCACCACCACCACCACCACTACTACTACTACTACTACTACTACTACTACTACTACTACTACTACTACTACTACTACTACTACTACTACTACTACTACTACTACTACTTCTACTACTACTACTACTACTACTGCTGCTGCTGCTGCTGCTGCTGCTGCTGCTGCTGCTGCTGCTGCTGCTGTTGCACTACTACTACTAGTACTATTAATTACCTTTACATTAATATTAATGGTTATATGTAAAAATATGATTTGGCGTACATATTTTTTTATATTCATACCATTTCTGGCTATAGCCTTCAATTTTCTCTGGTCTTCCCGATTTGTTTTTATCGCACCTTTTGACATTATGGCGTGTATGCACGCACTTTTGTTGCTATAGCTTGTAGTCAATAGATTTTCCATTATTTCATTGTATCGTGTTCCTGAAGAAGCCCTTTACAGGGCGAAACGCTGAACTTATATTAAATTTGAAAAATCTACTAAGTCTCAACCCCTTTTAAAAATTAATTAATTTTTTAATTCCCTTCTACCTACAATGATGATGATGGTGGTGATGATGATGATGATGATGATGATGATGATGATGATGATGATGATGATGATGATGACGACCACCTCTTCAACACTGGTGGGCCGTTGTCTGTAGTGCTGTTGGGCTGGCTGTCCTTGTCCTCCTGGTGCCCAGCCCAGCCCTGCAGGTCCTCGCTCCTCCTGCTGGCCCCGCTGTGGCAGCTCCTAAGGCTCCACTCGTCCAGCTCGGAGCTCTCGAAGCCACAGTTGCGCCACGAGTGGCGCTCTCGCCACAGCTCGTTGTTACGCAGGTTCTTCGAAGACTTCTCTACCACTGGAAATAAAATCGTTAAAACGAATAGAGCAAAGGGAAAATATTATTCAGACACGTATTTATGTTTTTTTTTAACCGTAGCTTTTTGTCTCTCCTCCTCCTCCTCCACCTCCACCTCCACCTCCACCTCCTCCTCCTCCTCTTCCTCGTCGTCGTCGTCGTCGTCGTCGTCGTCGTCGTCGTCGTCGTCGTCGTCGTCGTCGTCGTCGTCCTCCTCCTCCTCCTCCTCCTCCTCTTCCTCCTCCTCCTCCTCCTCCTCCTCCTCCTCCTCCTCCTCCTCCTCCTCCTCCTCCTCCTCCTCCTCCTCCTCCTCCTTCTCCTCCTCCTCCTCATCATCATCTTCATCAACATCATCAGCATTGCCGTTCTCCTCCTGGATCAGAGTGTAAGCCTTTTCATCCACATTTCCTTTTCCTGGACTAGTCTCTTGAACTTATTCCTGTTGATGGAGGAGCTCCTCTGTATCCAAAGATTAAAAAAAAAAATCTGTTTGCTTGTGTTTCAGAAACTTAAAAACAGTTACAAGGTCAGATAGTTGGCCCTCCGCCCCCAATCTGCAGTGGTTTATTGTTTCTTACTCTGTGCAAACATATAGTATTTAGACCTAATCAAATGGTTCTGATTGTAAATATGTTCGCCGCTATACCAAGTAGTGAAATATATCAACTTGTTTACCTGTCCTGGGCAACAATGTCATTGTACGCCGGAAGGTCCATAAGTGCTCAGTTCCTCTCAGCACCAAAGCCCGCAAGGTATCCATACTAATTGTTCCAGTGGCTGTTTGATTATGGCGACGTCTTTCCTTTCCAGATAATCGTTGATTTCTTCTTTCTCCCCTCTCTATCCCCATTTTCCGCATCCTGATGATTTGCGTGGTGTTCTGCCGTCTCCCTGTATTCCTCATCCCCCCAACTTTTCCTCCAGGATCTTCAACACTTTTCCTTTAACAAATTTCACCTCACCATCAACCACAGCACTGCCTGCCAGCCTATCAGCCTCCTCTTTGCCCTTCACTTCAGAGTGCCAAGGACAGAATATCCACATGATGGCTTTAAGTGATTAGTGTTGTATTTGTTTCATCCATTCACTCCGAAACAGCCCTTTTTCAACCCTTCGCAGGATGCTCTGGGAGTCAGTGACAGTAATGAGATGAGCAGTTCTTGGTCTTGTATTTTAAAATCAGCCAAATACAATTATTCTTATTTCATCTTATCTTATCTTAGCTTATCTTATACGTTTTTTTCCTACTATGCTGGGCTACGATGTGGATAACGTTGCTTCGAATCCACAATCATGAGTTTTCAAGAGGACCTTCAAGAGTCTCCTTCTGCATGGCTCGGTCTTATCGGAGATGGACATTCAATTCAAGCTTCTACTCTTGAAAAATAAAACAACAACAAAAAAACTCAACAACAAACAAACAACAAACCAAACAAACAACCCCTCCCCAAACAACAACAACAACAACAACAACAACAACAACAACAACAACAACAACAAAACAACAACAACAACAACAGCAAGAAGAAAAAAACAACCCAAACAACGTACTGAATGAAAAGAGGGGCTAACCCACACCACGGGTACTACATTACCACTACGTTTTGACGTTACGTGGAATTATTAACACATATTTTTGGAGTAGATAGAGAACTGCGGAGCCTCCACTGGGGCGACATCTTTCCCCGCACATTACTGATTGACCTTCAAGGATTGTTAAAAGTTTGAACTTCTAAATCGTACCTTCTGTATGCATTATTAGTATTCACAGGGCTCACCCCAAGAGCGAGATCTTCTTTAGATACTCATGCTTGTGACGAGAAGGGCATAACACTCATACTTTGAACAGAACTGTAAACTGATCGTGCACCTCTCTGCCTATGACTTACCTCCATCCTGAAGGTTTCGGCGGCCTTCTTCTTCCTCTCCGTCCATTGGACTGCAGCTGTACTTCCGGATCAGATCAGACACTCGAGCATTGGCGTTGAATTCAATAGAATCATATTCGCTGTCTCGGGCGTCCGGATCGACTCCAGAACCCACAAGTTTTGAACGAATATACTTGTCGCTCGAAGAGACGTGGGCCTCTTTTTCCGTTGGTACCGAGCAGTCTTTCATTCCTTTCACTACCTGAGAAAAATATTCCTGTTTCGGCGAGAGAGCTGGTTCGACGGCGGGAAGGGACCAGTCGCCTTGACTCCATTCCATTATTTTTTCTCTTTCTGTCGGTCCACGATGACGGGAGCGTGGCTTGGTCTCATTCCTGCCTCCTTTAAAATCTGAAGACGGTTGTTTATGTTTTTTGGCTTCCTGCGAACCCCTGGAGCCACTGCGATACCTGTGACTCGTCTCTTTGCGGTCTTTTCTTAGATCCCTTGATTTGCTCCTCTCCTTGCAACGTGCAGAAATATGTTCACGTGGTCCGTTTCTCCCCTTGTCATACGCAGAACGACGCTCATGTGACCGGTTTCTCTCTTTGTCATATGCAGAAAGATGCTCTCGAGATTTGCTTCGCTTCGTGCCATGTGCAGAGCGATGCTCTCTTGACTCACTCCTCTCTTTGTGATATTTTGAATTATGTACATACCTGCTGCCAGATGTTCGATGTCCCCGTTTCTCATCCATTTCTCGATCTGCCAGGGCGTCCCGGTAGTGATGGTGCCTATGTCTGGAAACATCTCCTAGGTCTTTACTGTAACTTTTCTTATGCTTAAATGACTCCCCGGGTTCGCCCTTTCTGGCTTCTCTCTGGTTCTCGGAATAATATGCGCTGTGACCATGATTGCGACCACGATGCTCCGACTTGTGATGTCTCCGATGAACTCCTGAAGTCAAGGCTACATGCCGCTCTCTTCTCATGTGCTCGCTCGGGGAACGAGAGGAGCGAGAGTTGAGTGAGGCAGACCTGTGTCTGGAACCGTGCTTTGGTGCTCGGTCAGGCGGCTTAAGTTTCTCCCTGGGCGTGACATACGACTGGCAATCTCGGTGTGGCTCGGAGATTTGGTCCTCGTTCGATTTTTCTGGGAGGGTTTCGTAAGCGCTAGCGGTTTGTCGTGATGGCTTTCTAACTGAACCCAGCCGAGATGACAGAGATGTTTGACTGCAACGAGATCGAGACAAGGATCTACTTTTTTCTCCAGCTCTTTCCGCCAAAGAAGGAGAGCGAGACAGAGAGCGGGAGACCCTGGTGGCTTCGATAACTAGTGACAGCGCTTGGGCGACTTTAGCTGCTGCAGACATGGATTGCTCAGCCACTTTGATAGCAGCTTTGAGAGAGCCGCGTATTGTAGACGATCGGGGGTGTTTAGAGACTTCTGCAAGGTGCTGCTCTAAAGGCTTTGAACAGTCATCCGACATGCAAGCTGTGTCATCAAGATTACCAGTGGTTACCTTCGAAACCTTTTCCGTAGTAGATTGTTTCCACAAACTAATATCTTGAAAGGCGTTGTCTTCGTCGTCACAGATAAAGGCTATTGATGACGTCGGAGAAGTAGTGGAAGCGTTTTCGGGGCCCTGAGGACCATCTACCTGGTATTTGATCTCAGTAGGTGCTGACAACATCCAATCTTTCTTTCTGATCTCACGCGGACTGTCCCGGACTGAAGTACATTTCCGTCCTCTGCCCTTTTTTCTACACGCATAGCACAGCTCTTTTGTTCCCGATCTGCACGTGCAGCCTGGAGGCCTTTCTGTATGAATGATTGTGGGACAACTATCGAACCGGAGTGAGCAGACCTTCGGACTGTTTGAGTCTGACGCCAGGGAAGTGTACATCCTTTTCCCGGAGAGAGTGTCTTCATTGTACACGCTAGAGTCCGCTTGCGCATGTATAGACTGTTTGCCGTTTCCATCATCGCTTTCGCCAGGCTGCAATCCGAAACCGTCATCCGAAATCATCCTCTTGACTCTCTCCAGCCAGTCCTCTGCTTTCTTCAGAGCGTCTGGAGGGTCATCCATGTTCTTGACATTCTCCCCGTCAGGCATAGCAGTCAGTGGCTGCTTAGGCATGTCGTCCAGAGCCATCGCCTGCTTTTTCAGAGACAACATGCCATCTTTATGGTCGCTATTCTGACTCGAAGATGCGCCAAGAGCAGCTGCATTTGATCCATTGGAAACATCAGCTGATTTTTTATCTTCGGTCTTTTCCTCAACATCTGAGCGTTTCTGGTCTGAACTGGAGTAGAGAGAGGCCTCGGACTGGGTTCTAATCTCAGTGTTCCCACTTTTGTTTTTGGACTCATATTCGTTTTGGTTTTGGGGTTGGCTTTGGGTTTGACTTTGGCTTTGGCTCTGGGTTTGGCTTTGCGTTTGACTGGAGCTCATCAGCTCTCTTAACATGAACTCTGATCTGTACTCGCTATCACCGACTCGAGGTTTTCTTCCGCCATATTGATCGCCCCACAGAGAACGGACGCCTAATTTCCCCTCTGAGTACGGGGAGTAATCTCCAAAATCGTGAAACACTCCATCGTTATTAGAGAGAGATCGAGTGGTTTTCTTTTGGACGACTCCTATCATCTCAGCGAATTCTGGCTCTCCAACTGACATGGCTTTTCTTTTGCTCTTCGGCGACCTCTCGGTCATAACAGTCTCTGCTAGCTCCGACAACATTGCCTTGTCATTGAATGGAGAGTCACCTTGGCTGGTGGAGTAATAGCCCACTCTTTGGCCACTGAGGGGACAAGCGTTACATCTCCCGACTATAGCTGGGTCCAGGTGAAGAGGGTTTCCCTCTCGAGCACCATCAGGGGTACTTTTATTAGAGAGATATTCCAGGGGCGGGGGAGGGAACTCGTGATGAAAGTCAAGAGGTTTGCTTCCGTGGTTTGTACCGGAAGAAGATATGGAATCCGATTCAGAATTCCGCTTCGAGATCGTTGAGGAGGTTTTGACATTGAGTTTCACCGATTCTTTGGAAGCAGACCCGAACTCATCCGCCCCGGACCTGTCGCTCTGGCTTCTGGTGCCGTCTGTGTGGTATGTCTGCTCGACACAGGCGAGGGCCGAGCTGGCGGGAGTGATGGGCGTGTCGTCTGCTCGGGAGAAATCATCTTCATCCTCAGACACGTCTATGTGCTGCTTGTTGTGGGACCTGTCAGAGGGAATGCCGGGCCGACTCGCTCTGCTTGGGGGTCTAGACACAAGGAGAGAGTGTGTTATATATGTAGGAAAAAGAAAAAAAATCGTTAGACACCAGCACGATGAGTCGTTCTGATTAGAAATGAGGAAATTTAATGGTATAAAACTTCTAAAAGGAAGAAAAAAGAATGAGATGAAGAGAAAAACAAAAATGGAAAAGGCAAAGAAACACACGCTTATTCACGTATCTCTAACAAATAAAGAACACTTTGTTTAAGCTGCATCCTCCATTCCTTCTAGTACTGTAAAAATGCAACAACAGTAAATAAGGTCCCTCCATCTGGCATGCAAATCGAATATTTGCACGTCATTAAACGGAACATGAGAAGGGAAAGAAAAGAAAGTGATACGACAAGTCGCATGAAAGACTTCGTGTCAGGTTAAGATTGCGTTTTAGTAAGAGTTTTACTGTACTTGCAGCACAAATTAGTCATATGTGTGCCGAAGATTAGAGGTGTGACGAGAGAGTAATATACGAAGGAAAAGGGGGATAGATAAAGGCGAAAGGTGTTTGGTAGGAAAAAAAAGGAGAAAACGAGACCGCCCGCCAACCACCCACTTCGTATCAAGAAAAAGAAGGCTGAGAAAGAAGCACCTTAGAGGCCTTAACGACAGATGAAATTCGGAGAAGGCTTTGTTTAGGAGAGAAATGCATCTGTTCGTGTGTCAAGTCGGTGTGAGATCCCGGTGTGGCCACTGCTTTTCGCTTTTGCAAAACAAAGAAAGGTGTGACTGAGGGAAAACAATGGGGAAGGGAGTGTTGACTTCTCTTAAACCCCACTGCCTACCTTTAACCCTACTTTAATCATTTTTTGGGAGAAAGGGTAGTGGGAGGGATAACTGAACACAGATTATCCCAAAAATGATAAAATTATCCACCTTACGGCGTTGTTTTCCTCGACTACTTTCCCGTTCGGGCGCTCCCCCCCCCCCTTTTATTATCTCCTCTGTTGACTTTTTCACTTTCCCCAAATGCAACACTTTGAGATTAAAATTCTAAGAATTAACAAACTGTCATTTACGTTGACACTATTATCGCTTGTGTAATTAAATGCGTGGGTGATCGTCACAGGACATACAATACAGACTTGTACAGCAACAACGCTATCGTCTGTTGAATGAATTGGGTTTTTTGGGAAAAGGGGGAGGGGGGGGGGGCGTAATGTAAGTGCTTTATGCGTCAATCGAAACAAAATAATTTAAGTGGCTGCTTCGACCCTGCCTGCCAGAGCTAACCCGAGATGAGAGGAGTAACCCAAACTACGAGCAGGAAGACTGAGACACTCGATAAAAAAATTGCCCCCCCCCCCTCAAACACGAGAAACTAACTCCGGTCTACTGCGTGCTACGGCAAAGTGCCTAACCACTACTCTACAGACACCAGTGATTGTACTGTCTCCGCTGTTATCGGAACCATTCTAAACAATCAAAATTGTGTTGACGTATGCAGTCTCAACAAACACCCAAAAGAAGAAATCATTAGATTTTCAAAATTTATTAGACTTGATGAATTTTGACAGGAAAAATGTTTTTTTCTTCTGCAAACGTACGAGGCGGCTGGACGTTCTGACACCGGCTAGGATGTTTGCAAGAGGAAACTACTTTTGTGGTTTTTGAGCGAATCTACAGGGTGATTTTAAAAAAATAACTTTACAACTTTTTTCTGAATATCTCGCGCAAAAACTGTTCTAGAATGGTGTAATTTGGAACAGATATAATTAATTCAAAAGGAATTTGTTTGATATAAAATCCACGAAGAAGAAACATGTTTGGAAAACTGAAACGGCTAAAAGAAAGAAGCACCCAAAAACGCAAAGTTCACCAATGTTTTAAAATCTTGTAAAGGAAGTCGTGAAAAGATAAGTTGACCTTTTTCTGTATTTTCTCTTTGACATTAACTTTCCATCCCTGTGACAATCAAACAATATTTTATTTCTTTTACAAAGTTTTAAAAACCTAATGATTTCATTCTGGAATTCATAGAAACAGTGCTCCACATTCTCACCTTTGGACTCTACACATTTTTAACACGTCGTTCGAAATGTTTAGTGGCACCCTGACACAAGGACCAGCTAAACCATCAGTTTTTAAAGCCACATACACTGCACATGTCCACTAAGAAGTGGCTTCTAGTGGGGTGCCCAATAGACAGCATTTTTGGAGTTAACATATCCCGCGGGGTGAAAATGGGCTTTACACTAAACCAAATGTCATCGGGGAA